GATGAGAAACACCCTGGTAGCTTTTATTGAGAGTCTAGAGTTGTCGCCCCTGTGTTTGATGTCGTTTGTAATGATGAAAAGGGCGCTCGAAAGGAAAGATACCTGGCCTATTAGGTGTAAGTGATCACTTTAACTATTAATTTCAAAATTAAATATGCTAAATTTGATAAAATAACCGCGATGAGATATTTTATACGGTTATAAATAAAATTCAGTTTATTGAATTAACCTACTAGAAAATATATATAAGGTACTTCATAACTATTAAATTTATACTTTAGGATGTTCTAGTCCAATTTATATAAATAAACAAAATTCTTGCTTAATTTTAAATCATTATGAAATTATAAGTACAGTTTATGTGTAAGAATATTTCTTAAATATAAATTATTTGTAAACATCATTTTAAAATATCGCTTTTAATTATGTCACCAAGTTTAATTTATGTACAAAAATGCTTACAATACTTAATAATAAATAATATTTGATTACAGTTTACGATTCAATGCAAATCATACCCAACGGCCTACTGGACGGTACGTTCACCAGCTTTGGCTTATATGAGGAATGCCTGGACATAGAGAACGAACAGTTCCCGGGGCTTAAAATGAAGGGTCGGTACTGTTTGGCCAAACGGGAACTGCCGTTTATGTATCCCTCACTTAATAACGAGACGGCCTACCGGTCCACACATTTGCCCGATAATAATGACATGAGACTACTGCAGGCAATGAACTTGCTCAAAAAGACATACTTGAGGTTCGGGGTGTGTTTCCCATCCACCTGTTCAGCCAAAGAGATTAATAGAGCACTCAATAGAAGTATGAATTTATTTATTATTTTTAAAAATAATATATTTATTACAATTATAAAACAATTTAACAACATACTAATACTAATTAACAATTAATTTGATATTGTCCTAATTTAATTTAAACATTTTATTTGAAAGTAATATAAATAATTTTTAATTAGCTGTAATGTTTTTTGCTTCATAATAACTTGTATACGTACATTATTTATTTAATAAATAACAATATTAATAATATAATTAATAATATAAAAAATTGTCTACTTAATTAACACTTAGTTCCTAGTAGTCCATCTGGTATTTATTTTTTAAAACAAATTATGGATATAAGTTAATTATAGTTAATATTTACAGTTTTAATTTTAAAATTATAAATTATATAGATATAAATTAGATGTGAAACTTAAATAAATTTATTAATATTGTTGTGTTTGTCAGTAATGTCTCCGTCGGGTAAACAATACGTTGAGATCGAGAGTGAATGCAAAGTAAAGGACAGAGAGATTAAACTCAATGGCTATCAACGGACCGCACA